TAACAACCATCATAAACACTCCGACCATTTACCTTATTATAAACCAACACTTTTAAAAATGAAACCTTTCTTAGGTACTTAACAATCAATAGTAGTAAACTTTACGACTCAAACCAAGTGTAAATCCTTTCAAAGGTTCACTACCTGATACAATTGATCATTTCTCACCTTACAAATTTGTACCTTGACAAAATATATCACCACGAATGTAGACTTACAATGAAAACTCTGAATTATAACTCAATCGTATAACACAATCCCCTTATCTATCAACATTAGCTTATACCTTGAAGATTTTTATGAAATCATGGATCTTAGCTTATCATCAATCGCATCTCCATCGATCCTACAATATCTTTCCCCAACAATCCAATTGTACTCATTATTAAACTCTAAAACAAAAACAAGCACTTATTATCACGCTCAATCTAATGTCTTGCGCAATCTTTTCTCAAGTCTTTTGCAATAGTTTTTAACCAATCTGAAGGACTTGTGACACTATTACTATAGTCACAACAAAATGAATGAAATCACGTGCCTCTGAACCCAATTATCTACCCCTCTAAGGATATCTCTTTCGCCTTCGCAACCAAATAAAATATTCTTGTTCTAGCCTCTCTCTAAAGGTTGTACTACATCCCACTATTTTTCTTCATTATAACTCTAGCTCTTTAAAAATTTGGTTCGAGTGGTGTCCCACCATCTCTTAAAACTTTCCATACAACCACGTTACTCACCAAATATTAGAAAACCTCAAACTTGGATACTCGCAAGTCGTAATTACTATACAAAATTCACTTAACCAACAATTTTTATTATATAGTTGCATCCCGTCACAATCCATCACGAACTCTTATTGCCATTACGCTCCGTCAGCCTTGACTATCACTACGAAGCCAACCTTTTTCATCAACACAATACCTCAAACTCAGGTAAACTTATCAAATTCAAAGGACTAACCCTATTTTATACGCACCTTCTTGCTAAATACTTCCATTTCCTTCACCCAGGTATACTCAATGGGACTTTCCTTATCCATAAGTTGTTCATTCCGGTATCAATCCACTCCTTTATGGCTTAAGATAAATTCACCAGTCCTCATACCACTCTTCTTCTTCTTAACAAACAAGACAGGAGCACCCTACGGGGAAGCACTAGGACGGATGAAACCTTTATCATGAAGCTCTTGATTTTGAGCCTTAAGCTCTCTTAATTCTGCTGGAGCTATCCGATACGGAGGGATGAAAATAGGGCGAGTGCCAGTTTCCAAGTCAATGCAGAAATCTATATCTCTATTCGGAGGCATACCAGGCAAATCCGTAGGAAACACTTCCTTAAACTCAGACATAAGCCAAACAACCCTGCTTACCAGTTACCTAGCCCGAATGGAGGATATGATCTTAACTAGCTTAGGCTTGTACACCCCTTCCCACTCTAATCTTTCCCTATCGGGGATCTCTAGAGTTACCGACTTAGTATTACAATTAAGCCCGATATAATAGGGGGACAACCAAGTCATGCCTAAGATTATATCAAGTCAGTCATATCCAGCATAACCAAATTAACCCAAATCTGAAAATCTATAAACACAATAGGACAACACGATATACATGGGTGATT